GTCACAGCTGCGATGGCTTGGGCATGTGTTGCGAATGCCTCCAGAAAGGAAGGCTAAACAACTGTTCCTTCCAAATCCGACCGGCAGAAGGCCAAGGGGACGGCCAAGATTAACCTGGTGCAAATATATGGAAGGAGTCTGTTCCAGACTGCGTTTGTCTTTTGCCGTAGCTCAGACTCTGGCACAGGATCGGGAACTTTGGAAGCTCTGTCAGACGTGTCTGCCTTCGCGACCCGAAAGAAGAAGCGGCGATGGAAGATGAAGATGAGATGTACACCGTTCATTAATCCCATCCCTACATTTTATCCCCCCGCAACACAAATTCCAAACAGGCATCGAAGAGTTTTGGAGATAACACATCATCGATTCACGTCGTTCTCTACGGGAATTACGAGATCGATTGTTAAACAGCGTTAGACCATCTGTCGCTGGGGCAGAGCGTTAGACCATCTGTCGCTGGGGCACAGCGTTCCTTCATTTGCTGTGAAACATGCTGAATTTTGCTCATGAGGATCAGGACTTCCTTCCGGCTACTGGAATAACGGTGCAGGAAGGGAGTATCATTGACGCAGTTTGGCGTAACGTTTTAGCAGATAAACTGCATCTCAGTTCTGAGCCGCTAATTCTCAATCCCCAGGGATTCCATGCCGTTAATGAGTGACTACTAAAGCAATGCCTCGTGCACTGTTTGAGACGCATGTATACTAATGTTTTCAACAAATTTCGCATCACTACGCAGCTTGAGCTTCCATCTGAAACTGCAGAGAAGAGGGTACTCCACCCTGTCGGTATATTCTGAGACAACTCCAAAACGATCTTTCTCTGGCTGGTTCGTTTTGACTTTCATTCGTGTAAGATTTAATAACCATAAATTTAGACCAATTACGACCTGTGGTGCAGATTGAGCATTTTTTCTGCTTTGCCGCTTAAATCTGTTTATGATACACTCCCAGGAACGATGGCCAAATAAATACTGAACAAAGAGTTACTGAAAATTACAGCCGTGCATGGTATCAAAGCAAGGTATTACGAAACCAATGAACTATGAAAGTCGCCTTCTTCCGGTTACTCATCTAATTAGTGACTTTAATAGCGGAATAAATTTGTAAAACTACTAAATTCTGTTAAGTCCCTCTGGAACACTCGTTATAAAACGCTGCTTTCACACAAAGATATGGTTTTCAGCGAAAGCACAGAAATGAACGACAGCTGCTAATCGAATTCCATCTGCAGCGGTAAAGTTGTGATTTATGTCGCGTTACTAGAGTTAAAAATTATAGGAAATGGTTCGGTTTTCAGATAAAAGGCGGCATTTACAACATTACGGTTCTACTGACGTCACCGGAGTGTTATCATTTCGATACTTTTTAACATGAGACTTCAACCGAGAGCCCTGAGACATAAGTCAATGTTATGACATTCATCTTCTGTCAACGAAACAAGTAAAAATGACTAGAAGTCTTAGACGTGATTATTAAGGTGCTGCTCCCATGTGAGCAACTGCTCAACCGGTCTGTAGCGACAAGTTTGCCAACTGTCCCACCTACAGTTTCGCAAAACTTAGCAGCTGCTCTGTTATGGTCAAGGGTGAGAAAGGGCAACAAAAATAAACCAATCGATAATCGCCACTGCTACGTTCGAAAATCCACTTACGTATTTCAAGTAATCACAAACGATCCTATTTAGGTCCATGAGTCCAGAAGCTGAAAATATAGAAGGGTTTCGCTTAGCAGCTCGGGCAATCATAAGCTTTTCGCAGCCGGTCTGATTTCGAAAGTTCTCCATGCTCTGATAATCAGAGATATCGTTTGAACCGCCGCTAAATCAAAGAGATATACAGCCGTTTATCGTCAGATCAGATACGGACTTCGCGATCACCGGTATGTTTAACATTCTGCAAATGGTAGAGATATCACTGTTACGATTGTTGCTGTCTGGCCGGTCTGTCCTTGTCCGACCGTGAACTGCGAGTGCTGAGGCGCCACAACGTTCGATTAACTTGCAGACTTCAAGAGTTGAGTCAAGCTATATGTCGGGGAACACAAAAATTCGACAACAGAGACGACCGCAAAGAAATATGTACCTTATGAAGAAGGCGAATTTTGCAAGTAACCGGTACACGAACTGATGAGGTGAGAGCTGTTAAGATCTAAGTGAATGGCTGCCTTTCAATTTTGAAACAATTTTCTTCCACAGATTTAACTTACTTTCGCGATCTTCAGTGGATCCTGCAGAAGAGCGCACCCCATGCCACCCTGAAACATTTTACTTCGATGGCGTTACAGAAACTTTCTTCTACACAAAGGTTGTTATTTTACGTACCAGTACCGAAAAGTCCTTGGGGCAGCCCATGTTTATGTCAATGGCGGCCACGTCTGCCTCGCTAAAAGCACAGAAAATTAAGCAAGTCTTCACCTAACAATAACGATATTTGAACACTTAAACCTGGCTCATACAGTCAGCGTCTGACAATTCATTCGTGATATTTCTCATAAAGACGATAAATTTAAATTACGCTTGGGTTTCTATACTTGTTATGACGGTTGCTGAACAGAAAAATATCTAGTATAATTCTTCACAAACCCTTTAAAAATCTGCTGTTTGTGTAAAGGACTTCTAAAAGCAAAACTCAATGCATTCAATTGCCAGTTTTAAAATACCACTCCTAAATTTTATTAAATATCAATATAGATTTTTCTGGAAGCCTGAAAACGACTGTTAGAAGGAATACAATGAACACGCGTTGCGAACTAAAACAAAAAAAATAAAAATGCATTGTGAGAAATGCGCGGGTGCACGTTATATATCCGCGTGATCTTTGGTTGGCGAATTATCAAACTTCAGGGAAAGAATGAGTGTCTTGTTCAGTGATTCCCACCTGTGAACCTCAGATAAAATCAGTGATGTATTGCATAACTCACTTTGCTTACCTTCATATGTGAGGATGAGATGCTAAGAATTCTGACAGCACAGTTAGTGAGCTCTAGCTTAGCTTGGTCTGAAGTGACAAGCGTTTGACGGTTCGCTCACTTATAAATCTTTTATCGTTGTTCACTTGTCATTAATTTTTTCGATTTACTGGAATTTTGACTTTGTTGAAAAGAAGAACTGAATGAAGATTCTTGGTAAGTATTAACTAATTATAATAATTCAGAGACAAAATAACCTCAACTTGAAAGACACCATGTTGCGCGAACAAAATAATGTAGCACTGCGAAAATGGAGGGACTGAACAAAATGCAAAGAAAGTAAATTATTGGTCCTTCTAGAACCGCGACATGTCATTTCACACGTTACCTGCAATGCCAAGCTTATAATTTCTGGACCATACTGTAATTCAGGTTCCATGAAAGAAATTGTTGAGCTCACAAGTATGCAAGAAAAACAAGAACATAAACAAATTTGCTCACGTGATTACGTAAACACGCAAGACACCAGTCAGTACTCCAAAACATTTCAAAATCTCTTCATTTCTAGTAATAACAGATACTGTGAATGGCATGTCTGAATACACAGGTTAAAATCACTCAGAGAAAATCAAGCTGCTTGGAATATGAAAATCGCATATTCGTTACTGAAAAATGCATAAGAATTTACAAGAACAGTAAGAAAATTACGAAAAGCTATGCAAATGAACCTGCTGCATAAAACTGTCCAAAATAAGTCCAGCTACACAGCGAGTTGTCTGAAAACGATCCAAAAATCAATTGTAGGCAGAGGCCGTCAACAGAGTGCAATCGCCAATCTGAGTAATTCACAGATGCAAAATTTCGCCTGAATGGCTTTTTGGAATGTCATTCCTATTTGGGATATCCTTTGCGATTAAAAACCTTTCAAGAGATAACTAGGGCTCCTCCGTCTGTCTACGTTACAAGGCGACCTACTTCGACGACAGCCATGTTTTGGTTTTCGTCTGAGTTGCTCTCGGGTAACAGAGAACGGCCTATGTGCCCAAGCCATTTGTCAAAGACATTACCAGAATCTCCTATTTTACTGAGAATACGTGGCTTAGCAATCACAAAACCGATATCTTACATATGCCTGGCATTTAATCCTTACCATTACGATACGTCATCGTCTACGAGAGTACGCTGTCCGATCGCTGCTCTTAATCCTTTTTTTTGAACAGCGCTGTTATGAACATAACAGTACTAATCTGGTCTAGATTAGATACAGGGGCTTTTAGGACAGGGAAGAGCCTTGTATATTCTTTTAGCAGCCTAAAAATTATGCAGGTTAAGGGAAGCAAGAGTGATCATTCCACTTAACTTGAATTATGTGCTACTGCTGCTGAAGATGACGAAATCGATGTAAAGTGGTCGACGTTTTCTACCGTTTTAACTTCTCGTTGCGTTCGCGGCTCATCGGAGAGGCAAGCTCTCAATTTTCACTCCTGGGGCTTAAAGAAGAGACCAGTTTTCGCTACAGAGCATACAGTGACTATCAGGTAACGAAACATGTTTCCAATACTACTCATCTCTGGTATCATCTGCGCACTCCAAATTAGCATGATATCAGAACGGATATCTTGGGTAGAACCTTTTTTTGACTGAGACCTTCGCAAGTCAATCATTTACTGTTAAAGAGGGCACTATCCAGACAATCCGATCCAATAAATACATGTACGCAAAAGGTGGGTACATGAGCGGAACGTCATTATTTTTATGGCTTTGCAATTTAGCTGTGATTTTGCGTCGAAAAAAACCTTGTTCAGTCATTTTGTTTTTCTCAGCACTGTATTAAAACAATGGTAGCTACGCTGAAAAGTCACACTAGCCTCACTGATGCAAGATACAGATGGGATATTGCTTCAAATATTCGACAATCCATCAAAGGCTTTGGAAGTAATAGCGATTTTCTACTTAAACTTAGCTGGCTGGTATAATCGTGAGAGACAATGAAACCGGAATACTGAAAGTGATCTACGTCATCTACAATTTCTCATTCCTGCTTCTGAATAGAATTGCTTGTAGAATCTTTTCTAATTCAACAATAAAAATTTCATTAAGGAAAAACTGGCCTTCACTGCAGTGTCGTGTCAAATAAGTCAGCATTAGGCAATTCAGAAAGGCGAAATTCTTGACCAGCAGGCGAAACACCGCTGAAATATTATAGCAACTCAAACTAAAATTCTTTCACATAATGTTACACTTGATTACTTAAACACTGGTTACATATGAACCGCCAGTGTTAGAATCACTACTTCGCAACATTGGATTTTTGAAATCAGTACGATACTACGCAGTATTACAACAGTAAAAACAAGTTTTTTGACTACTTTCAGGACTGATTTGATGGAAGCAACCTGCTAGTACAGCCGTGCTATTTTGAAAGGGATCCAATTCTACATCGCAGCAAATGTAATTCCATCAACCTGGCGAGACAACAGACCCCTGGTTAAAAATACGCTGAAAGGTCCCAATCAAAAAATTACAATAGCAAAAAACTATGAAAGAAAAAGGATTACATTAATTTCGCTACTTGAACGGCCCTCTCAGGGTCAGAAGTGCCCTAAACTACAGAAATAATTATGTTGATTATAATACGGTAGGCAAAAGATACCATTTGAAATACCACTTTATCACGTTCTTCATCGCAAGTCCGAAAAATGGGGTATCGCTCCCCGGGCAAAGAGAAGTCGATGGTATTCAGTGCATCTAAATCGGCAAACCCACTTTCGTAACGAATAAAAATAAAGTGAATGCGCAGCATACCATTCACAATCCTCCGACAACAGAGCATTTTGTGGTCAACAATTTCCTTAATTCAGAGGCTGGTTATAGTATACAAGGATGACAATAGGTCTTACTTCGGAGTATGCTAAATCAGCACCATATTCAAGACAGAGAAGTCTAAACGGCAAAGTAGTGACTCTGACCATCGGCGCTAGAATTAGCTGCTTTCCTTCTGCGAAAATTTCAGAGCTGTGGATGGTCATCTATGTGCAAATGCAACCACCGCATAAAGCATCAACAAACACAAAGACAAAAGACGCGTGGCGGACAATGCAGAAAAAGCGAAGATAAACGACAATCGGGACGGATAATATAATCTTTTATTTGAACGACTACTTTAATATGTGTATAGACGCAAACATCGGATTATAGTTCCATGACAGCGCCACTTGCAGAAACGGTCATGCCGCCGTTCATGACCGTTTTTGATCATCTTCCAACAGTTTGAAATAAACATGATGGCGTAAATACAACGAACTCGCGCATCTGTCAAAGGTCTTTGGTGTCCGTGGCACAAAACCTGCTTTGCAACAATCGCACCTGCATGTTGAAGTATTACACATATTTGATGTGTGAGAAAAACCTACGAACAGCTTGGCTGAACAAACAAAATGATCAATAAGTAGTGCGTCGAGCAACAGTCAAGGACAATGATCGACGAATATAAGGCACATATATCGTTACTCATCAGATCGTACCACATGACCGGTAGCACGTTTCGATCTATCCTCGACACATCAGTATGGCGACGAAATCTGAAACATATCTGTAATTAACGGTACTGTGCAGAAACAAAAGCTGACAGAATTGAACAGTGCCGCTAAATGTCTACCGTACAGTTCTTGCAACAAACAGGGGATGCGCGGTCAAAACCCCACGATCGACATGAGGACACAGAATTTCGAAAGCTAACGAATATAAAGCCAAAGTAGCTGGCTGAATTTTAGGGCTCTAACATAATATTATAAGTTCAGAATAAGATTACTCGCACCTCGGTAAACCCTAAATTCAAGAAAATCATCCGCAACCTTTGAAATCACTCTTTCAACATTACTGAGCGCATGAATCGATCAATATGAAGAACCAGCCAAACTGTTCTACAGTTCGAGCACCAGGGTCACTTTTTCACTGCATAAATACTTAATGCATCTAGTTATTTGGACAACGCATGCCACATATACAGCTTACGTCATTGCAGCTCCGCTAACTTTTAACCTCTGCTGAAAAGACATCAAGAAACGAAATTTCATCATTTTGAATGGCACGTTTCATTCGTGACCTAAGCAGCGATGATTGCCATTCTTCAGGCGAGTAGCTAAACCGGCAGGGTGCGAACTTCGCGTAATACTTAATTTCTGGTAGCACTCATCTGCTGGCCACCTGGTGTTTCTTTGTCAGCACGCTGTGCGTCTCCCTTTTTTAACCTTATAGAGGAGTTGAGCGAAGCCTTTTGCAAAGGTCAGTAGATTGCGGTGAAAGTTATGTGTCCTTCAGTCTAGCATTTCTGACGCGCTACATTAGGCATTTGAAAATGTTTATCCGTATTTTCTGAATAAAAGCTGAATTAAGGGATTAACTGCGCGGCATTCACTGGACTTTCTTTACAACCTCTGCTAGTTCGTACGTTCTTCTATCAGGTACAATACCGGTTAGAGTTCAGCGCTACCAGCACTGCTGTTTCTTTTAGCCAGCGAATCTCCTGGCTTCATCTAGTGTCGCCGTCACCAGATCCCGCTCTCCAGTTACTATTTTGGTTGAGAGCCATCTACGGATGGGACAGTGTATGACGCGGTTCTTGACATTTATATTACAGTCGTCATTCAGATTTGCGACACCAAAATGGACCATTTCATCCGCATTGATCAGGTGCCTCAATCGTATTTGAATTTCCCACAGCTGCAATTAATCGCTACCAGAGTTCGCACATGAAAAAGTTTTACAATTCAGGATATTCGTCTACTATTCTGATGATACTAAGATGCAATCCATCGAACAGTACTGCTTCATTCTATTTGAGGATTACCATGCGTGTTTCCTTTGATAGTAATGTTGAAAAACGCGTTAGTTAGTACTAGGCAAATGCCCTAGGCCGTGAATTTTGCACTCACTTCGTTAGTCTGGCTTTGTCCCTGGGAGCCAAATGCCTGATGCGAGCGTTCCGTTGCTGAAATTTGTAATAAAATCGTTCTCTGAAATTCGAGGGTGGACCCTGATACATTTTAGTAATACTTCAACTTCTATCACTAACGTTTGTAACTATACAGTACAATCCGAACAATAACAATTCCCTTGAAAAGGACTGTTTTGCTTTTTCAGATTCACACTAGAGGGATTCAACCTTAGGCTTATGCACCGCGATAGGACAATACAACGATGAAATTTGGGATATGTGCTAACCGAATTTGAAACACTCAAACATTGTTTTTCATCATTAAATCCAAATTAAGAGCTACAAGTAAGCCTATTAAATTCAAGCTACAAGTAAGCCTTCTGAACTGATAGAACAGGTGGTGAAAGAGGGCCACATCGTTGACTGAAAAAAACATTAAAGATGTTTGGCTCGAAAGAAACTACCGGAAGCGCATGATAAAGGAAGCGTCGTGATGCAAGGACGCGAACGTCTTACCAGGGACAAAAGACACGACCTTTCATCGGTCTGGACTAATACAGTTGTTAGCTATGAAGACCAAGATCAAATCACATCTAAACTTGTCAGCATTAACTACACCACGTATAAGCAACTATTTTAAAGCATACATACCTTAAGATCATAACATTCTACGTCATGCCAAACTTTGACAGTTGGTGTCTAGCTGTTGCAATCTGGATAGTCAACGGGTAAAAATAAAGGAAACAAACGACTGCCAGATAAGGATAGCTGAGACAAAAAAAAGTTGTTTTGCGGAAATACAGTGGTGAGATAACCAGCGTCTGGCCGGGTTCTTGCTTATAAATACCATTCTTAGAGAAAAAGTCAGTGTCTAATGACACTTTCATGTGCGGACGAAAACGATTGACCTCGCTGAATAATGGTGCAACCTTGCGGTTGGACGTCGTTTCATCAAAGGCCAGAAGGGAAAATTTCGATACAAAAGCAAACTGAATGAAATTCCCCAGGGCACCGTCAACCATGCCTGAGGATGACAAAACTTTATGTTCTATGACAACACAAACAGGCTGGGACACAATGCAATACACATGACAATACACCCGTACCATCGCCGCGGTTCTGTGTTCCACTGTCGAGAGGCTGCTAAGAATTACGGGTTAACGACTGCTATCTGATAAATGAACCCGGACTTCCCCCGCCGCTTGCACTTATAACTGTGGAACATTGGCAACGGACGAAACATTAAACCAACTAAATAAGATAATTTCAGGACTTGCCTGCGACATCCTTGGCCTCTGCGAGACGCGAAAGTGGAAGGAAGTGAACAGCATCTGAAAAGCTGGTAGTCGATTTGACAAAGAACAGAATAGATCGCGAAAAACATGGGAAATAGGAATTGCACTCAACATGAGCTGGTCTTGGAAGATCGTCTCCTACCAGGCGAAATTACTATGACCGGTCGTGCTGCGCACAAACTAAACAAGAAATGTTTTGGAAGATCGTCCAAACCTATGCTTCCACAAGTACAACCGAACAAGAGAACGTGGAAGAACTCCATCAAGAACTGGAACAGGCAATGATGTCCAAGTTCATGTATACTCTAGTACCGGGAGACTTCACTGGGACGGTCGAATTAAGAAGGGCGGTTGAAACGCTTGTCGGTGGGACGGCACTGGAAAGCGAAATTTCCGATATCATCTGGTAACCATGGCGGAAACGAAACATGCGCAATGGCAACATCTGGTTGAAAAAAACAACAGGAAATGGACATGGATCACCCAACAAGGGACTGGACGCAGTTCGATAAACGTCGTGATATATCAGTAGCGCCATCATTTAACACCGGCAGTGATCATAGAGTGATGCGGGTCAGGCTAATTTTCGAAAAGAACGACAGGACGGTACTGCGGATGGCAAATCGAAAAGTATTCGATAAGTTGTTGTTCTAAACGCGAATCTCCAGCGAACACTCGAGCCTCAAAGGCAGTTGCACCGAAGATTACGAGAAGCTTACCGAGAAACTGGCTCGAAGCAGCAGTTAGCCGAGGTGGTAACATCGAATAGAACGAAAGGAAACGTTTCAGAAGGCACAAAGAGTTTGCTAAAGAAGCTGATGAAAAAGAAGAGAGATGGGGTCGACTTGGTGGAGTATTCTTTCCTGTAAGCTCATTAGACGAAAAATGAAAGAAGACTTTGAGACCTTCCAAATGCACAAATTAGAGAAAACAGCGAAGCACGCCAGAAGTCAAAAATAATGCAGGAGGGAGACAGCGTTTTACCAGTCGACCGTAACAGCGTTAAAGAATGAGGATGACGCATTAATAACAGACAGAGCTGAGACGCAGACTATCAGCAAGAACTGTTATTCCCAGAAAAGAAGAATTGCACTCTCGGTCTTCATAAGCGACATTCGAAAAGCCGCACAGAAAATGAAACACCAAAGAGCCTCAACGCGAGACATTCTCATAACTGAAATAATCAGAACAGGTGATCAAGTGCTGTGGAGGGCCAATGCGGAGAGGTTCAGTTGATACCAGAAAAAGGAAAAGATGCCTTCAAACTGGATGTTTGAAATTCCCTTCCGTTCAAAAAACAATCATGTTGTTCAAGAAGGACGAGAAAAAAAGGTCTGAAAACTATCGCCCAATACGCCGGCTCTCGCACGTCTACAAACTGCATATAAAGATCATGAACAACAGACTGTCAACAAGTCCGGACGAACAGTAGCCATGAAAACCATCTGTATTCGGACGGAGCAGCAGCAAAACAGATAATCCATTTACTTTAAACCAACTTCTTGGGTGCGTGACGGAAGCCAGCTCTCTCTCTGTGTAGAGTCTGCGAAGACAATGAGAAGACCTTCGACGAAGTTGAGTATAACGAGGTGTGAACTGCACTGGCAAACAGGGGATAGACAACCGTTGCATCAGCATGTTAAAGGAAGCGAATTCTGGCTGCTTCATAAACATCATGTTGATCGACACGCTTTTGGGATTCCCGTAAAGTAGGGTGGGAAAAAGGGACTCCACACTTCCACAACGCTTCAGTGTCCGTTACGAAATGGTGTTCTGAAGGATGAACTGGAAGGACCAG